TAGATAAAAAAGGTTTTCTTTAACAATCTCATTAAGATAGATAGAAGACGTTTTCTTTCACAATCTCATTAAGATAGATAGAAAATAATTCTGATTATAAAATAAGTCCATCCAACAAAAGACAACACTGGAACATGAATAGGACCTTGCAACAAATACAACAAAAAGCAATTGAATTCTAACTCTACTTAACCATAAAATTTACCTCCAAACGCCCATTTATGAGAAGTAGCATTGGAATGCAGAAATTTGGGATGAACACGAGCATGTTCCAATTCACCTACAGTTAACCAACCAACGTAATTCTTACCTCATGTTACAAGTAAAATTAAATTGTGAATTGCGAAAAAAAAAAAAAGATGAGAGATGAACCGTGTATAGCAGATGATTTGATACGACCAACTTCAAAATTGCCAGCTCTCCAGAAACTTCGAGAATCCAGTGGCCTGTAATTAGAATCCGGTGGAACAACGGCGTTGGGATTTTCTATTACCGGTGATTTACTCAGTGAGTTACCACCGTGATTAATTTCTGGTTTTGTCATCCCGACGACGGGAACGCCGGTGCCCTCGTCGTCGCTACTGTCGAGTTCGACGACATTAATTGGAAGCTTCTCTACCTTAGGCGGCATTTCGAAAGAATTAGATGCGAAGAAATCAGTGATCCTTTGATCACTTAGAGGTTTCTTCAATCTTGAGGGTTTTGCAAGACTACTGTCTAAAGTCTGTTTAGTCTGCCTTTTTAATACTCAAATCTCTTTCTCCTTTTTATACTGTCAATTCTTTATTGAAATTTATATTTATCCAGCTGATTAAATTTAATTTAGTTAATTAAAGGTGTTTTAAATAAATCTAGTTATTAAAACTCTCAATTCTTTATTGAAATTTATATTTATCCAGCTGATTAAATTTAATTTAGTTAATTAAAGGTGTTTTAAATAAATCTAGTTATTAAAACTCTTAAATCTTATGTGTAGTTTTAGAGTTTTTTTAACTAGATAAAAGTATAAAATCTAACAAAAATCTTTTGAATAGAAATATCAAAAACATTTTCTTTTTCTAAATAATACAGTACTAATCTAAAACGAATTTAATGGAATTTTTCATTCACAGTTTGATACTCAAATAGCTTCTTTAAAAAAATGATTAAACATAGTAATTTATCATCAAATATTTTTTATTCATTCAAACACAAGTAAAATGGATTTAATGGAATTTCTCTTTCACAATTTGATACTCAAATACTTCTTTAAAAAATGATTAAACATAGTAATTTATCATCAAATATTTTTTATTCATTCATACAAAAGTAATTAAGAATTTTTTAAAACTATCTCCAAAGTCTAATAACTATTTTTTTGTAATAACTATGAACATTATCTTTAATAATAAATGATAATTACAGCTTTAACCACCCAGCAGTTACAACGCAAAGCACCTTGTTTGCCTATTTCTCACAACTAGTTAGCACCTTAAGTTTGAATAAAAACTCTTATATTTATATAGTTTTTTTTATTCCTGAAAATCTACCTATCATGTATATGAATTTTTGTTTGATCTGTGTTATTACTTGCTCTTTTTTAGACATTTTACTCTGTATATTTTTCAGTTTCGTAATCTCCAAATGTGATATATCATAGCGCGCATAGAGCAGCAAGTACTTATTTTTTTGTTTTACTCCAATGCTTCTTGTTAATTTTCAGTAGTATCTAATTAATTTAAGTTGCTTGTATCTACACGTGAATCCTCAATTGTTTCTTTTACTTTTTGCAATTATACATATCAACTAATAAATAAATTGTTGACTTAACCATGTGTGAAAACAATATTCATTTTCCATCTTGTTGGGTTTTAGCAAGTGTGAATGAGAAAAGAAAAGAGAAAATATCAAAAGTGAGGAAACTACTTTGGAGAGAAAATGAAAAGTCATTTGCAAAGTGCAAATGAAAAGTCATTTCTTATAAATTTGCAGGTAACGGTAACATTCCGAAAAGTTGTTACTCTTTTCGAAAAGTCGTTACTTTTCAAAAAGTAGTTATTTTCCTAACAGACACAATTTTTC